CAGAATATTGTCAACCACACGGAATAAGACAAGTCATGAAGTGCTTATTGAACTTGAAGCAGAAGTTTGTGTGGGTGCTTAAGAGAAAAAGAGAAGGAAAGCCAATTCTCCAAGCAATTCTACTGGGAGGAGTTTGCTCACAGTTTGGTTTACTAGGCAGGTAGTTTTGGTCATTCTGAATGAAGTAAATATTTCAGTTCAAGGTCCTGAAGTCAGCAACCTCATTCTGCTGAAAACAAAACAAAATAAAACAGTACAAGCTCTTTTGGCCAAGCCTACACACTTGGAAGAATAACTTGGAGGCACGAAGCTTCAAACTTTCCATCTTTTCCAAACTTTCCAAATGCTTCTACAGGCTGGAATTGCGAGTGATAAAGAAGCAGCTTTCTCGATTTCTCTGCAGTCAGAAAACTGTAGCAACCTGAAAGCTCTCAGAACACTTTTGAGTGTTACTTCTGCTCAAACAATCTTCAAGTGGAAAGTGAATCTGTAATCCTTTCCTTGTTGACATAGACGGCAGTGGTGAGGCAGACCTTGCCAAACATGACTTCACTGACTTGAGGACAAAGGAAATGAAGTAACATGAATTCAACTTGAGTTGCAGAAAATCCTACAACTAGAGGACTTGTAGGTGATCTTGATCCAAGCCCATTCTTAGCTGGCCACTGATTATATTTGCTACTACAGACTTTAGTGGGTCAGCGTTTTGACATGAGATTTTCACATATTGAGGTGTACGGGGTAACTATTCAGGTTCAAAAGTGATTCAGCTTGAGCTAAAGAAGCCTGACTTATGGCCCATCAAACATACATTGTACACCTGCTTTAACCATTAAAGTAAAGAATACAGTCTCAAGATAAGAATGCACACTTCCCCTCCTACGCCCTATTGGTGACACCCGGTATTAGTCCCTTTCCTTACATCAGGGTCATGTTGACCTGCTAATTTGCTACTGCATACCTCTTTGAAACTTTGATGAATATGTGTCCTGGGCATGTCTAATGTATGTTCTTTGTTCTAAAAAAATATAAGACTGTACTGAAAACCATGCTTCTCTGGAACACTTCCTTCCTTTCTGGAAAAGGTCTTCCTGGGTTATAATCCTGAATCTGGCTCAAATAAAACTCCCCTATCTCTCTTACCTATAGAGTGGTTATTGGTCATTTTGCTTCGACATTTCCAACCCTCATTTCCGGCAAAGCAAAAGTTAAAATCGATTGTACGATAATGCTGTTTGTCTTATCTTTTCAAAAACCACACAACTTCTTATTAAACCAAAGGAGCCTCCCCGGAGGCAATGTAGCTGTGGTAGGCAGAATTCAAAAGATGGCCCCCAAGTATCCCAACCCTGGCATACGCAGTTTGTATAATCTCCTCCCCTTATGCAGGCAGAACCTATGAATATGATAGGATATCACTCCTGTGATTAGGTTTCTAATCAGTTGTCTTTGAATTAATCCAAAGGGAGATGATCCAGCTGGGCTGGACCTAATCAGGTGAGGCCCTAATCTTAAAAGGGCCTGAGTCCTTTAGGAAGTCAGAACCACATGCTTCTGCTGGCCTGGAAGCAAGCAAACATCCATGCCAGGAACTGCCAATGGAGGCCACGTGGCAGGGAACTTCGGGCAGCATCCAGGACTGAGAGTAGTCCCCAGCTGACAGCTAGCAAGAAAATGGGGATCTCAGTCCTATAATGGGAATTCTGCCCACAATCTGAATGGGCCTTGAAGGGCACCCCAAGCCTCAGGTGACAACCGCAGCGTCCTCAGCTCCACTGTGCTCAGACTTCTGACCAACAGAAACCTTGAAATAATAAATGGGTGCTAGTTTCTTTTTTGTTTTTGAAAACAACAAAGAACAGAATAGACAAAATAAACCAAAGGAGCAGCATCTTTTTTATTAAAATTATTTTTGAACAGAATTAATGTATTTTTTGTTCTATGTGAAAAACTTTTACTTCTTGTAATTTTTTTCAAGAAGTGGTCATTAGTTTTTGCTTGAGACACCAAACTGGGAAAGCATAACTTTTTTGTAACTCTATAAGAGAAGGAAAAGCATTTCCAAGACAATAAAATTAATTATATGCAAAGTTTTATGTATGTGTTTATGTGCATCTTTCTGGGAGTGAAGTCCATAGCTCCCCTTAGGTTCTCAGAGTGGTCTATGATTCAAAAAATGTTTCAAACTGTTACCGCCCAAGGTGGGGGATGTCATCTGCCTGCCGCAAGACATGCCAGTCATCAAGCGGCAAGGTGGTAGGAAAGAAGGGACTTTTTATTACAGCTTGCTAGCAAGAGAGAAGATGGCCAACTCATGTCTAAAAGAACCATCTTACACAACAAAGACTACAGGCCAGTTATACAGGGGCCTGGTCTCCTGGCGGGGGAGGCATCTGGTCTCTGGGTGGGGGCATCCATCTTATCTCCAGGTGGAGGCAGACATCTGGTCTCAGTTCCTGATAGTCTTTGGTTTTACTGGATATGCATCAGACGGGAGCAATGCCCTATACCGAGATCTTTCAGCTGTGCTTAATGACAGCTATCAGCATAGACTCTCTGCCCGGGGGTCATCACATTCCTAAGGAACTCAAGAGAACAAAGTTATCAACTTATAGCAGCTGGGAGGGGCCATAAAATCCACAGAGCGTGTCTGGGTTGGTTAATCAGAGGTATTCAAAGTAACAATAGGGTTTCTTTTCTACAGTACGGCTTCCCTTATGTCAACCTTGTCTTGAGCCGGTATCAAAACCATGGACATAACTAGAAATCACATCCCAGTTCTCAGATTCTAAGTAAGAATCAAGATTGATTTTTTGAAGTCTTTAAGTGGAAACATATATGCACCCATACATATTTACTTTCCCCAACTTCAAACCTCACTCCATTTCCCCTCCTAGCAACTGGATTTTAACATGTTTGGTTTTGGTTTTTATCAGTGGTTGGGGAATTTAAGCCAATTTTGTTTAGATGATCTTAGGTTTCTTTCATCTTTTTATTTAAAGGGATGAGTAGCATTAAGGATAACTTTTAAATGAAAGCAAAGGATATATAAGTCCAGCTCTTTTTTTTTTTTTTGTGAGGAAGATTGGCCCTGAGCTAACATCTGTGCCCATTTTCCTCTATTTTGTATGTAGGATGCCGCCACAGCATGGCTTGATGAGCGGTACATAGGTCCATGCCCAGGATCCGAACTTGTGAACCCCAGGCTGCAAAGTGGAGTGCATGAACTTAACCACTACACCACCAGGCCAGCCCCTAGCCCAGCTCTTTTCATTTTCTGATGTATTTTTAATGAATTTTGATTTTGAAAATTTTAATGAATTTTAATGTATTTTGACAGTGATAATGACAAAAAAAGTATTTGTAAGGCTTATTTATTATATGGGCAATGACCAAACACTTCCCACTTAGATGTTATTGAAGCAAGTACAATAAAAAATTACTTGTTTGATTCATCAACTGTTCATTGAAAAAACTTTATTGTGCAAAACAGTCTTTCATACATGAAGACACCACTACTCACATACCATCAATAGTGCATGTGCTTTGAAGTTTTATTTTAATAGTAGGAGAGACCACTTAGTGCTGGGCTATCAACAGCTCTCAGTCTATGATCTGCACAGACAGGATTTATCCATGGCTTGGAACAAGAAACCAACTGGCCCATGTGAAGATTTCTTCCATGACCATAGCATCATTAGCATGGCCCTGCCCAACTGAGAGAACAAACTAGAAACTATATTTGTGATAATGATAAGGTTTTATTTTTCTTAGTTCTCCAGTTGATTTAACTGCTATCCCCAGTGGCCCATCCAAGACACCACTTTTTACATTGCCTTTCACAAAGGTATCAATTCCAACAATATAGATTCTTTTTAAAGACTTCACTTTTTTAGAGCAGTGTATGGTTCCAACAAAATTGAGAGGAAGGTACAAAGATTTCCCATATACTCCCTTCCCACATATATGTGTAGCATCCACTATCATTAACATCACTCACCAGAGTGGTACGTTTGTTACCAACGATGAAACTACATTGACACATCATAATCACCCAAAGTCCGTAGTTTATCTTAGGGTTCTCTCTTGGTGTTGTACAGTCTATGGGTTTGGACAAATGTATAATGACATATATCCATCATTATAATACCATACAGAATATTTTTATTGCCCTAAAAATCTTCTGTGCTCTGCCTATTCATCCTTCTCCCCCACCATGTCCCTGGCAAGCATTGATCTTAACATTGTCTCCATAGTTTTACCTTTTCCAGAATGTCATATAATTGGAATCATACAGTATGTAGCCTTTTCAGATTGGCTTCTTTCATTTAGTAATATGCATTTAAGGTTCTTTCATGACTTTTGATAGCTTGATGGCTCATTTCTTTTTAGTACTGAATAATATTCCATTGTCTGGATGTACCACAGTTTATTTATACATTCACCTATTGAAGAACATCTTGGTTGCTATGGGATGTGCTGCTATAAACATCCATGTGCAGGTTTTTGTGTGTATATAAGTTTTCAACTCCTTTGGGCAAGTACCAAGGAGTGCAATTGCTGGGTTGTATGGTAAGAGTATGTTTAGCTTTATAAAAAACCACCAAACTGTCTTCCACAGTGGCTGTACCATTTGCATTCCCATCAGCAATGAATGAGACTTCTTGTTGCTCCACATCCTTGTCAGCATTTGGTGTTGTCAGTGTTCTAGATTTTGGCCATTCAATTAGATGTTTAGTGGTATCTCATTGTGTTTTAATTTGTATTTCCCTGATGACATATGATGTGGATCATCTTTTCATATGCTTAGCTGCCATTTGTATATCTTCTTTGGTAAGTTGTCTGCTAAGGTCTTTGGCCCATTTTTTAATTGAGTTGTGTGTTTTCTTATTATTGAGTTTTAAGAATTCCTTGCATACTTTGGATGATAGTTCTTTATAAGATATATCTTTTGCAAATATTTTCTCCAAGTCTGTAGCTTGGCTTTTCATTCTCTTGACAGTGTATTTTGCAGAGCAGAAATTTTTAACTTTAATGAAGTCCAGATGATCAATTATTTCTTTCGTTGATTGTGCCTTTAGTATTGTATCTAAAAAGTCATTGCCATATCCAGGGTCATCTAGGATTTTTTCCTATGTTATTTTCTAGAAATTTTATAGTTTTGCATTTTACACTTAGGTCTATGATCCATTTTGAGTTAATCTTTGTGAAGTTCTGTGCCTAGATTCATTTTTTTACATGTGGATATCCAGTTGGTCCAGCACCATTTGTTGAAGACACTATCTTTGTATTGCCTTTGTCAAAGATCAGTTGACTATATTTATGTGGGTCTGTTTCTGGGCTCTCTACTCTATTCTATTGATCTATTTGTCTATTCTTTTGCCAACAGCACACGGTCTTGATTACTGTAGCTTTATACTAAGTCTTGAAGTTGGGTAGTGTCAGACCTTCAACTTTGTTCTCCTTCAATATTGTTGGCTACTCTAGGCCTTTTGCCTCACCATATCGACTTTAGAATCAGTTTGTCAATATCCATAAAATAACTTGCTGGGATTTTGATTGGGATTGCATTGAATCCTTAGCTCAAGTTGGGGAGAACTGACATCTTGACAAGATTGAGTCTTCTTATCCATGAACGTGGAATATCTTTCCATTTATTTAGTTTTCTTTGATTTCATTCATCAGACTTTTGTAGTTTTCCTCATATAGATCTTGTACGTACTTTGTTAGATTTATACCTAAATATTTAATTTTTGGGGTGCTAATCTAAATGGTATTGTATTTTTAGTTTCAAATTCCACTTGTTCATTGTTGGTATATAGGTAAGCAACTGATTTTTGTATATTAACATTGTGTGTCACAACCTTACTATAACCTCTTACTAGTTCTAGGAGGGTTATTTTTTTGTCAATTCTTTCAGATTTTCTACATAGACAATCATGTCATCTGCAGACAAAGATAGTTTTATGTCTTCCTTCCCAACCTTTATACTTTTTATTTCCCTTTCTTGCCTTATTGCATTAGCAAGGACTTTCAGTACAATGTTGAAAAGAAGTGGTGAGAGGGGATATCCTTGCCTTGTACCTGATCTTAGTGGGAAAGCTTCGAGTTTCTCACCATTAGGTATGATGTTAGCTGCAGGTTTTTTGTAGATAGTCTTTATTAAGTTGAGAAAGTTCCCCTCCATTCCTAGTTTACTGAGAGTTTTTATCATGAGAGGGTGTTGGATTTTGTCAAATATTTTTTCTTCATCTACTGACATGATTGTGTGATTTTTTTTTTTAGTTTATTGATGTGATGGATTACATTAATTAATTTTCAAGTGTTGAACCAGGCTTGAATGCCTGAGATAAATCCCACTTGGTCATGGTGCATAATTCTTTCTATACTCTTTTGGACTAGATTTGCTAATATTTTGTTGAGGATTTTTGCATCTATGTTCATGAGAGATATTGATCTGTAGTTTTTTTGTAACGTCTTTGTCTGGTTTTGGTATTAGGGTAATGCTGGCCACATAGAATGAGTTAGGAAGTATGCCTTCTACTTCTATCTTCTGAAAGATATTGTAGAGAATTGGAATAATTTCTTCCTTAAATGTTTGGTAGAATTCACCAGTGAACCTATCTGGGCCTGATGCTTTCTATTTTGGAATGTTATTAATTATTGATTTGATTTCGTTAATATACATAGGTCTATTTAGATCATTTATTTCTTCTTGTGTGAGTTTTAGCAGATTGTGTCTATCAAGGAGTTAGTCCATTTCATCTAGGTTTTCAAATTTGTAGGGATAGAGTTGTTTATAGTATTCCTTTATTATTCTTTTAATTTCCATGGGATCTGTAGTGATGTTCTCTCTTTCATTTTTGATATTAGTAATTTGTGTCCTCTCTCTTCTTTTCTTAGTTAGCCTAGCTACAGGTTTATTGATTTTATTGATCTTTTCAAAGAACTACCTTTTGGTTTCATTGATTTTCTGTATTGATTTACTGTTTTCAATTTCATTAATTTCTACACTAATTCTTAATATTTCTTTTCTTCTGTTTACTTTGGATTTAATTTGCTCTTCTTTTTCTAGTTTCCTATGGTGGAAACTTAGATTACTGATTTTAGATCTTTCTTCTTTTCTACATATATGCCTTCAATGCTATAAATTTCCCTCTAAGCACTGCTTTCATGGCATCCCACAAAGTTCTAAAGGTTGTGTTTTCATTTTCACTTGGTTCAAAATATTTTTTTAATTGCTTTTGACATTTATCCTTTGACTCATGTGTTACTTAGAAGTGTGTTGTTTACTCTTTATATTTTTTGGGGTTTCCCAATTATCTTCTATTATTGATTTTTAGTTTAATTCCATTGTGGTCTGAGAACAGAGACTGTATGATTTCTATTCTTTTAAATTTGTTAAAGTGTGTTTTATGGCCCTGACTGTGGTCTATTTTGGTGAATGTTCCATGTGCGCTTGAGAAAAATGTGTATTCTGCTGACAAGGCAAATTTTAAAGCTCCTTCTATCTTGTGGTTCTACCACCTTCTAGGGCCTGGGAGGCCTGCACTGGATTGTTTGCATCTGGTGGCAGGTGATAATTGCACCAAGGCCTTTAGGGACCAAGCGTAAAGTTGCGTACTATTCTTTTGGGTAGTACACATTCTGTTGGGCAGAACACAGTCACATGGCCCCACCTGGATGCAAAGGGACAAGAAAATGTGGCCTACCAGTGTGCCAAGGAGGAGAGAGCATAAGTACTGCAGAATGCCTTGCCAGTCTCCGCCAACGTCCATGCTTCCGGTAACCAAATGTCTGTTTCATTCTTTCTTTCACACATAGAACACTGCCTCTTCACTCTGCAAAGAAGAACAACCCAAAGTCTCAATCAGTTACTACATTCAGCTCAAAAAGCAGGATCTGTAGATAATGCGTTGGTGTGCAGTCTCTTCCATCAGGTCTGGAAATGGCTCCTTGTGTGCAAAGTCAGCACTTGCACCACCCTGAGAGTGAGCACTTCCTTAAATTTTGCATCCTAGGCATCTCACTTGCCTCACCCTGGACCCAGCCCTGCCTTCTGCACGTACTAATATAAAATGGTGGAGCAGAGAATTGCTGTATTAGTCATTCACATTTGGAAGAGAAAATGGAAAACACACAGCAGTCACTGATCAATAGAAATTTGAAATCATCTAAGCATTCATACCCTCCATTAGGCCCTAATTCTTTTCTCTGGGAGGAACTTTCCACTGTTTTCTGTGGTTCCTGGATCCACTCTCTGGCATGGTTTTCATTGTGCTCATTTTCTTTGGCCACAAATGAAGCGTATATTTAGGAGGATGCCCTCCTTGGAAGCAAGATTAGGGGCTCAAAGCTGAAATTGTCAAAACGTTTTTAGTGTAGGTTCCTGGATTCAAAACCTTTGTAGGCTTCTCATCTCTTTACTGCCAATCAATTCCATGTGCCAGTAAACTTACCCAAAATTCATTCCTAGACATAGTTTTCAAGACTGTTTTATTTTTTTGTTTCCCATCCTCTTCCCCCAGGCCCTTTAAACTTACTATAAGACCTGGGTTGGATAGGCCACACCCTCAATCTGATCTTGGAGGCAAGGCTAAGCCACTTTGTTCAACTGAGAAATTTTCTTGGGACTTTGTTGCTTAAAACCTTATTTGTTCTTATATCTTCCAGTTTTGAGCCTAAAAAAAGTTGGGTTTTCCAACTCTGTGAGACTCTGAATTTCTGGAATTCTCTATTCTCTTTCACTTTTGCTTGCAAATTAGCCATTTTTTTCCTGTGCTCATCTCTTTCTTTTAATAGCTGGTCAAATGCAGCCAATAACAACATCACACACTACTAATGTGTTGTTTTCTAATTTCTTCCCACAGAGCTACAAGTTCAATAGGCATATGGTCTGCCTCCAACATATCACAGGTGACAATTTTACCAAATTTTTGCCACTATATTACATGGATTTCTAGCCACCAACCTGCTCTATCTATTTTCTTGCTGCCTACTTCATGATACCACAAATTTTGGTGGGTTTTTTAAAGAATATTTTCCGTACTAATTTCTGAATTAGTTGAGATGAGAAATTCTGGTTACTGTAACAAACAACCCCCAAAACTCAGTAGCTTGACTCAGCAAAATATTTCTAGCTGACGTCATGGTCTGATGTGGGTCAGTAGAGGTGCTTTGCACCATGCAGTCACTCAGGAACCAGGATCCTTCTGTCTGGGGCTCCAATATCTTTGAGGGCTTCAGACTCTACCCCTGAATCCTCTACATTTGGGACATATAAGAGAGAGAGAGAGTTTGAGGTATTTTACAAGAAATTTTAAAGACCATACCTAAAGGCAGCACGTAGGACTTTTGTCTACATTCTATTGGCTAGAATTCATTCCCATGTCCTGATGCGAAGGTAACAGAGTAAGTATTCCATAAACGTTTGTTGAGTGAAGACATACATGGTACTTTCGCTAGTGCTTGCTGAGGTGCATGGCTCTTTGTCCTCCCATTAAGTGTCTATGGAAACCAGATTTATTGGAGTTCCTTTCTATGTTTTGTAGATTTTTGTCTTCTCTCCTTGCTGGCAGGTTGACAATCATCACTTCCTGTTGCTGTTCACGTTCCAGTCTGCATAGCCCTCTTCCTGCTTCCAATATGCTTGGAAGATGGAAGCCAAGTAAAATGCTTATTAGAATTGTGTGTAGTGCAAGACTACATAGGCTGTGAGTCAGGACCCAACAGATAGTCTCAAGTTCCTTAGGGAAAAAATACATGAGTTCTTATAACATTTTTAAAATTTTCTCATAGACGTGTGTTTCTTAGCTGCATTCCTGAGAGGCTGCAAATTGCTGAGCTCTAGAGAAGTGAGAGGTTGTAAATAGGTAAAATTTTTATTTTCAAGTAGAGCGGTATCAGCAGATGCTTTTCGATTTTGGTAAATTTCAGACATAGTTACTTAGTTCTGAGTCCCTAGGTGTCATGGCAAGTGGGTATCCTAAAATCACAACCCTTTTAACATTGGCTTTGCAGGTGGGTTTTCACATTATATGCTTACAATTGAACCAAACTTTAGAATGAATCTCCTCATATTTGTGGATTTTTCTCTCCA